CTGGAGAACGCTGGAGAATTCTGGAGAAAATTGCTGGAGAATTCTGGAGAAAATTGCTGGAGAATTCTGGAGAAATTTGCTGGAGAACGCTGGAGAATTCTGGAGAATTCTGGAGAAATTTGCTGGAGAACGCTGGAGAATTCTGGAGAAATTTGCTGGAGAACGCTGGAGAATTCTGGATAAATTTGCTGGAGAATTCTGGAGAAATTTGCTGGAGAATTCTGGAGAAATTTGCTGGAGAACGCTGGAGAATTCTGGAGAAATTTGCTGGAGAACGCTGGAGAATTCTGGAGAAATTTGCTGGAGAATTCTGGAGAAATTTGCTGAAGAATTCTGGAGAAATTTGCTGGAGAACGCTGGAGAATTCTGGAGAAAATTGCTGGAGAACGCTGGAGAATTCTGGAGAAAATTGCTGGAGAACGCTGGAGAATTCTGGAGAAAATTGCTGGAGAACGCTGGAGAATTCTGGAGAAATTTGCTGGAGAATTCTGGAGAAAATTGCTGGAGAACGCTGGAGAATTCTGGAGAAAATTGCTGGAGAACGCTGGAGAATTCTGGAGAAAATTGCTGGAGAACGCTGGAGAATTCTGGAGAAAATTGCTGGAGAACGCTGGAGAATTCTGGAGAAAATTGCTGGAGAACGCTGGAGAATTCTGGAGAAATTTGCTGGAGAATTCTGGAGAAAATTGCTGGAGAACGCTGGAGAAATTTGCTGGAAAATTCTGGAGAAATTTGCTGGAGAACGCTGGAGAATTCTGGAGAAATTTGCTGGAGAATTCTGGAGAAAATTGCTGGAGAATTCTGGAGAACGCTGGAGAATTCTGGAGAAATTTGCTGGAGAATTCTGGAGAAATTTGCTGGAGAATTCTGGAGAAAATTGCTGGAGAACGCTGGAGAATTCTGGAGAAAATTGCTGGAGAACGCTGGAGAATTCTGGAGAAAATTGCTGGAGAACGCTGGAGAATTCTGGAGAAAATTGCTGGAGAACGCTGGAGAATTCTGGAGAAATTTGCTGGAGAATTCTGGAGAAAATTGCTGGAGAACGCTGGAGAATTCTGGAGAAAATTGCTGGAGAACGCTGGAGAATTCTGGAGAAAATTGCTGGAGAAAATTGCTGGAGAATTCTGGAGAAAATTGCTGGAGAACGCTGGAGATTTCTGGAGTGTGCTGGAAATTACTTGTTTCCCTCGAAGAAAATACACACTGGAAGACGGCACAATAATTTTTGCGGTGCCGTCTTTATGATGAATGAATAAATGGAGAAGGTTATAAAAGGACAAAACCTATTCTAAACATGTTCTCTTATATTCAGGCATATATTCCCGAGGGATTTAAATCGTAAAGAGACCTGTAAATAATAAGTGTTGAAAGAGACCCCTTTATCATATACTGATAATAATAATAATAAAATTATACAATAATCCAAATGCAGACGTAGATGATACTATTTTTTTATCGGACCTTATTTTTATACCTAAAAAAAAAATTTTTTCACCCCCTTCTTTTTCTCTCTTTTTTTATTCAATTTACAATAAAAACATTTTTCTCAAAGGTCGTAAAAATTTCCTTTTTTTTCTTTTTTTAAATAAAAATTGAAAAAAAAAAAAGAAAAAAATGAACGTCATTAAATATGAAAAATAAATATTTTACGTACAAAAAGTTTTATTTCTCTATGACTTTGTTATGTAAATAACGAGAAACATAAAAAACAAGTCACGAGATTTACACAAAAAAAAAAAAATTTTTTTTTTACCTTATTATTCTATGCCTTTACCTTATTATTCTATGGCCTTTAACCTTTTTTTCCCTTCCATTTTTCCTTTATTCGATTAATTAACCATAGTTATTAAAAAAAAAATCGTGCGTAAATAACACACACATATTTAATGATTTCGCATGTCACGCATTGTTTTATTATTATTATCATTATTATTATTATTATTATTATTATTATTATTATTATTATTATTAAAACAACAAACGATAATAATAATAAAAAACATGAAATGGACTCGTATTATCCTTTATGAAATTTTATTATATTTAAAAAAGATTACATTAACCGTTGGGGAAAAAAAAAAATTATTAACGCGTTCGTGTGTGTGTTCGTGTGCGTGTGCGTGTGCGTTTGTACGTTCCAGAAAAATAAATTTGATATTTTCTGGACAATATCAACGAATTGAATATCGATTTTTTTCTTTTTTTTTTTTACTTCAATATTGTAAAAATTCCATTCATTTTTTTTTTTTTACGATGAATTCCATTTTGTTGTCTTTAACAATGACGACGGGGATGGGGGAAATTTTGGAAAAGGGACCGCCGCCATTTTTTTTTTTTTTATTATAAATAAAATATTTCCTTTTACGAAATATAAAACTGAAGAAAAAAAAACAAGAAACAAGAAGGAGGAGAATAATCGAAACAAAAATGTTTATCGATTTTTTTTTACTGCTGTTGCTAGTGCTGTTGTTGTTGTTGTTGGATATTTATTTATTTATGAATCCGTCAGGTTTTAATGATGATGATAATAATAATAATATATTTGTTTCGATGAATATTAATTTTTGTTATTTGATTTGAAGTGAAATCGGGAGATGAAGGAGAGAGGGAGAGAGGGAGGACAGGGGGGAGAGAATGAGAGGAGGAGAGAGAGATTGAAAGGAGAAAAATCAAAGGTAAATAAATAAAACGGAAGGAAAAAAAGGAGGGAAATAAATAAATAAATTCTTGTCAGTCGTGTAAAAAATAAAAAATAAAAAAATCAGAAAATTTGATTTTCTCTCTCTCTCTCACTTTCTCTCTCCCTCTTTCTCTTTTTACCCGTTAAACTTTTTTAAATTTGTTTTTGGAAATTTTAATTTTTTTTTTAACCTTTTCACCCCTTTCGCGCCTCCCCCTTCCTCCCTCTACAAAAAGCAAAAAATCAAACGATTTAATATTAAAAAAATATTTTCGATTTTTTTTTTGAAAAGAAACATATAACAAACAAACAAACAAACAACAAAAAAAAGTTTTTACCGCAATACGAAAATAAAAAAAAATATTTTCATAAGCTAAATAAGTTATACGTTGTTAAACTTTTTTTTTTCGCTTTTTTCGTCCGACGTTTAAAAACAATTTTTCACTCTGCGGGATTTTTCGCGTGATGAAAAAAATTTTCCTTCTTCAATATAAAATTGAAACCCGTTCCTGGAGGAACGAAAAACATGGAAACCTTTTATCCCAGAATTAATAAATTTACTTAAGAGAATTCTATTTTTTTTTTTTTTGTTTTCGGTCATTACACCCCACTTTTGTTTTTTCCTCCCTATTCGTTGTGATTCGTTCATTTAAAAAAAAAAATTTTCTTTCTAGAATTTTCCAAAAAAAAAAATAATAATAATTATTATTATTATTATTAACAACAATATCGATCGCTTTCGATTGTAATTTATAAACATTTTTTTTTTTTTGAAAAAAAAAAAAAAATTTAAATAATTGAAATTTAACGGATTTATTTTTGTGTTTCCGGTTTCGTGATTCGATATAAAATTTTTTTTTTTTGTTATAAATTTACGACACAACATCCGGTATGGGTGTGAAATATTACGACGGCAACAACAACAACAACAACAAAAACAAAAAATTTTTTTTTTCTCGCTTTTTTTTTTTTTTGACGCACCGATCAAAGTTGATTGTGTGCGTGTGCGTGTGCGGTTTGCGTTTGTTTGTTACCCAAATCCTTTGTTTTTGTTTGTTATGGAAAATAATAATAATAATAATAATAGTAAAAGTCATTGATTTAATGAAAAATCAACACAAAAAAAAATTTTTTTTTTTTTTTTCGCATTGTAAACTCCTCCGACGGTTTTTTCTTACTATCGTTATCATCATCATTATTATTATTATCATTATTATTTATAAATATTGAGGAAAAGTTTTTGTTTTCCTCTTTTCGTTTCGACTTTTCTCTGTGAAATTTGATAACATTTACGAAACAGTTTTTCCATAGAGAGAAAGAGAGAGAGAAAAAAAATCAAATTTTCACAAAATAATTTTTTTTTTTTTCATTTTCGTTCTTTCCTATTTTTTAACTTTCGCGATGGTGATAATAATAATAATAATGTTTTTATTCAACCGAACAATAAAATTTTTTTTTTTTTTTTTTTTTTTTTTTAACCTGGAAAAAAAACAAATGAAAATAAAATGAAAAAAAAAAAAAGAATTAAATTGATAATTAAATTATCCGCGAAAATGAAATGATTAAATGGTGAAACAAAAAAAAGAGAAATAAAAAATTTTTTTTTTTTTTAAATTTCCAGGTGGGAAAAATACCTTGTGCGTGTGCGTGCGCGTGTGCTTGCGCGTGTGCGACAACGACACAAACGTGTCGCACATTTTAAAAATTTAATATTTTATTTTAATGACCCCTTTTAAAAATTTTTTTAATATTTTTTTTTTTTTTTCTCATTCGATCAAGTTTTATTCGAATAAATTTTAAACGCAATTTTATCTACGTATTATCATTATTATTATTATTATTATCTTTTTATTTTTCTGAGGGATGACGGTAGGAAAACATTCTGGGAAAACGTTCAGAGAAAAAAGAAACGGGTTTTAACAACAATAAAAATTTATCTGATTAAATTTTATAAAAAAAAAAAAAAAACAGGTTCTATGGTTAAAGGAAAATATGAAATAAACAAACAATGGAAAAAAGGTTCGATGATAATAATAATAAAAATAATAAAATGGATTGATTGATGAAACGGGAATAGAAAGGAGGAGGAGGAGGAGGAGGAAGGGGGAATGTGGGAGGGGAAAACGTGATAAATATGCAAGAAAAAGGCTTGAATAAAAGGATTAAAGAAATTGGTTTAAATCGAGGAGGAGGAGGAGGAGGAGGGGGGTGGGGAGAAAAAAGGAAATAAAAGGTATTTTATCAAAGGAAAACAAAAATAAAAAAAAAAGGTTTCGAAAAATAAAAAGAACAAAAAGAGAGAACCTGATGAGAGAGTAACCGTCATGAAAAATAATTAATATTTAATTTTGAATCTTTACCTTTTTTCCTTTTTTACTTTTATTGCAAAAAAAAAAAATGTTTTTACAATAAAAAAAAGGAAAACAAAGGAAAAGTTTTTTTAAAAAGTTTTGTTTTCCTTTTTTTTTCGAACTTAAAAAAAATAAAACTTGATAATTAATTGGTTCCGTAATGATTAAAAGAAAAAAAATTAATAATAACAATAATGGAAAATTTTTTTTTCATTTTTCTTTTCTCTAGAATTTTCCTTAAAAAAAAAAAGACAGTGGAGAGGGAAAGAAAGAAAAATAAGACGAAAAAAAAAAATTCTTTTTTTAAATTTTTTATTCAAAAATTTACTTGCTAATAAGGTCTCTAATTTATTTTTATTATTATGATTAAAAAATAAACTGGAAAATTTTTTTTTTTGGTAACGTAAAAAGAATAGAGATTTTCTCAAGCTTACCTCATTTTTCGTTTTTTTTTTTTTAGCCTAAGTCTTTTTATAATTCACATTTTTTATTCACTCATTTGAATTACGATGATGAATGGCTTAAAAATCAACGACATTTTTTTTTTTTTCGTCATCGTCATTATTATTATTTATTAATATTAATATTATTATTATTAATATTATTATTATTATTAATATTATTATTATTAGTAATTAAATAATTAATTTGTTTTATGTCAATTGAAAATGACGATTACCTAAATGACATATAGTATTAAGTAATTCCATATGAAATCCCTAAGAAACTGAATAAATTATTTATTTATTTATTTAAAAATAATAATAATAATAATAATAATAATAATAATAATTTGAAATGCGAAAGAGAGAGAGAGTACATTTGTAAAATGTTTGACGCATTATGTATTTTTTTTTTTTTTTTTTTTTTTTTAATAAAAAACGGAAAAAAATGTTTGCAATCTAGAAAAAACAAAATTTCAAGTGACTGTAAATTGAAAAATAAAAAGTTTAAGTTTGTAAATAAAAGATTTCAGTAGCGTATCTAGGTTTTTTTTTTTTTAAATATTATTGTCTTTCGTTTGGCGAAAAAAAAAAACAAAATGAAAAATTTTCAATTTTCAATTTAAAAAAAAGAAAAAAAAGAGAAAGAAAAGAAAATATTATCAATCAATCGATCTCTATTGAGTAAATAATATAAAAAAAAGTATTATTATTATTATCATCATCATCATCATTATTTAAAAGTTTTCAAATTGATAACTGTTGGAAAATTTAAAAAAGATTCCATCGGAAGGAAAACAAACAACAAACGGTTTTTCCAAAAAAAAAAAAAGAAAAAAAGAATTATTTTAAAACAGGTTTCAAAAATTTTACAAGCAGACGATATTTTAATTCAAGTTTGTATTCGAGCGTTCGTTCGTTCGTATCGGAAAGTGCACGCGTACTCGTGCGAGTCCTTGTTTTTTTTTTCTCTCTCTCTTATTTATTTAAAATGAAATATTAAAATTAATATTAAATAATAATCGAATATTATTTTATTACTATATTTTAATAACGATGACTTTTAGCAGACGATATAATTTTTTACTCTTTAAATATCTATATATATTTTAAATTAATATCAAGTTAGTTATTAAATTACACATCAATTAATTTGTAATTTTCCCGCTAAATAATAATATGCGGGTGCCATTTTGTCGGTTTCTTTTCGTCTAACGTAATTAAGTACAACATTTTACGAAATACGACCTCAATTAATTATAATTATAAATATTATTATTATTATTTTGTTTTTTTTTATCCTTTTCGGTTTTTTAAGTAATTACGTTTGTTTGTTTCTTTTTTTTTTTTTTAGTTTTTTAATTACGTTTTAAAAAAAAAAAAATGCTGGTTTAAATTATAGTTTTACTTATAATTACCTTGATGTGCAAAATATTAATAATAATAATAATTGAATTTTCTCAAAAAAGGGAAGTGAGGGGCTGGGTGGGGAAAAAAACGAATTTTTTTTTTTTGATTTTCTGTTTCGAATATTTTTTTTTTTTTTTTATTAATTTACGGATGTTGGCAGCATTTTTTTTTTTTAGCAAATGTCAAACAATTTTATTTTTTATTACGACGACGAGACCGTAAATTTTTTACAACAACAGACAGAAAATGGCGTCGAATGAAAACGTTTCTCAATTTTAAAGTTTTGTCATAGGATTAAGGATTTTGTTAATAAAAATTAATCCGAATAAATACGTGAACGGATTTTTTTATTTTTTTTTTATTTTACTACTTACTAACGGGGTAAAAAAAAAAAAAAAAATTTAATTTTCTAGAAATAAGAAGAGTAATAAGAGAAAAACTTTTCTTCAAATCGTGCTCTTTAATAAAAAGGTTTTAAAGGTTTTAAAATTCTAAATTAAATTTTAATTTTTTTTTTTTTTTTTGGGTTTTTCAGAGTACAAGAAACGGATGGTTCTTTTTTTGAAAGTTTTACCGCTTTGACGTGGAAGCAAGAAAATAGAAGATTGTTAATTCATCAAGATATCGAAATTAAAAATGACGAACCCGAGAGTCCACCTGGTAGACCATCGGAAGTTAAAATTTCATTTAGAGATTTGGAAAATCTTTACGTAGAAGTTTTATACACAATTAAAAATAAAGTTGGAGTTTCAACGGGACAATATGCTCACTATCAAGAGGAATTGTTTCAATATGCCCAGGACGCATTTAATATTCAACCTCAAAAACATCGGAAACTTTTAGCCGTTGCTTCCGAAGAAAAGGTTTTCATTCATTCATTCATTCATTCAAACAAAAATTTATTTATTTATTTACTTTTTCTTTTTCTCAGCCGCCGATTGTCGTTTTGAATGTTGTCGTTGTTGAAGCGGAAAATTTAGAAGCCAAAGATGCCAATGGTAAGTTTTATTATTATCATTATTATTATTATTTACGTCATTGAAAATCGGTTGGGATAAAAAAAAGGAAAAACATTTGATAAAATTTTTTAAATCATTTTATTTTATGTCAAACCGGAATAAAAAAATGATAAACTACAAAAAAAAAAGAAAAGGAAAACCACCATTGTTCCTTCGTTTCCTCTTTCCTTCTTCTTCTACTACTTTCCTCCTTCGTACATTAATGGATTTTTCCTATTACTCTTTCCAAAAAGAGAAAGAGAGAGAGAAGAGAAAAAAGGAAAAAGAAAATATGCGGAAAAGCTCCTTCTCAATTCTTCACCTCAAATAATACAGGTGAATGAGAGACCTTAAACGATGAACCTTTTTCGTGAACCATAACAAAAGAGAATTTTTTCTTTTTTTTTGACAAATTTTTTTTTAGTTTGAAAAAGTGGAAAAAGATTTAAAAGGAAAGTAGAAATTTAAAGAGGGGGAGATGCTGGTGGTGGTGGTGGTGGGGGTTGGGGGGGAAGTGTAAAACGTGACAAAAAAACCGTATTTACTCTTCTTCTTATTCTTCTTATTTTATAAAGTAAAACATTAAATTTTTTTTTTTTTTGAGTTTATACATTTTTAATGTTAATATTAACAGCAACAAAAAAAAAAACAAAGACGAAATGAAAAAATAATATTTATACGTACGTACGGGAAAGAAAGAAAGAAAGAAATAAAGAAAGAAAGAAAGAAAGAAAGAAAGAAAGAAGGAAAGAAAGAAAGAAAGAAAGAAAGAAAAAAAGAAAGTGGAAGTGGAAAAGAAAATAATGATAAGAAATAAAAAGAAAAAAAAATGGGCTGCGGTTCCAAAAAAAAAAAAAAAAAAAAAAAAAAAAAAAACGAGATAAGAATTACTTACACACGCGTTCAAAACCAACAAACCATAAAAAATTATTATTATTATTATTATTATTATTATTATTATTATTATTTTTTTTTTTTTTTTTTGTTCGGGGAGGTTAGAGGTCAGAAATGAGGCCGTGCTGTTGGGAAAAATATCCAAGGAAAACAAAAAAAAGGAAAAAAAGGAAAAATGATGTGAAATTATTTTGACTGATAATAAAAAATAAAATAAAACCTGGTTTAATAATAATAATAATAATAATACGTTCGACTTCATAAACTAATTAAATAATAATAATAATAATCTTCGTCGAACGGATTAATAAAAAAAAATGTTCGAAATGATAATAATAATAATATTAATAATATTAATAACGGTCATTCGGTTGTGATGAATTCATAATTTTTTAATCGTATATATATTAATCGTAATTTATAATTTAATAATAATAATAATTAATAATAAATCGTGAGTAAGGAGGAAAAAGGTTTTCATCCGTTTCCGGATATTCCGCCATTTTCTTTTTTTTTTTTTTATTCTCCCTTTCGCTTTTTTGTTTTACCTACAGAAAACAAACAATTTTTTTTTTTCTTGTCGTTATTTGATTTTACCGACGATGTTTTCTTTTTTTTTTTTACCTTTTTAAATTCCTTTTTTCCTTTTTTTTTTTTTCCTCTCGTATAAAAAATAATTTTCAGGTATTTTTAAACCGATAATTAATTTTATCGTTTTAATTAACCTTTCCGATAATTAAAAAAAAAAAGGAAAAAATTTATTTATATTCATATTCATCATCTACTCCCCACTCCTCGTTCTCCTCCTCCTCCCCCTTCCTCCTTTATCAAAATCGTAAACTTTTCCGCCATTTTTTTTGTTTTTCTTATAAAATTTTCCAAAAAAAATAATTTTTCTTCTCGTTTTTAACGGATTTTTAATAATTCATAGACTTAATTATTAAGTGATTGATTGATTGATTGATTGGTTGATTGATTGATATCATCATTCGACGATCGATGATTATTTTTAAAAATTAAATGATAGAACAATTTTTTTTTTTTTAAACTGTTTCCAGTTGCGTATTTAACCTTTTCTCTTTCTCCTTCTTCATTCCCCCTCCCCCGCCCCCTCCCCTTCCGAACGCTTTACGTATAAAAATAAGAATTAAAATTTTCCCTCCGACAATTTTTTTTTTCATTTTTCTTTTTTCTTTCTTTTTAATTAAAAAATTCATTTAAAAAAAAGGAAAATAAAAAAAGAAAAAAGGAAAAAAAGAAAAAAAAAGGAAGAAGAGAGCAAAAAACCGGAAATCGCCAAAAGAAAAGGAAAAAAAATAAAATAAAATAAAATAAAAATTTTTTTTTTTTTTTTAATTATTAAAAAAAAATACTTTGTTCGTAAGAGCTTAAATAATAATAAAAATAATAATAATAATAATAATAATAATAATAATAATAATAATAATAATAATAATAATAATGTTATTAATTTTTAATGATAAAAATCGTGAAAAGTTTTTTAAAAAAAAAAAAAAAACCCGGGTAAAATTTGAATCGTAAAAATATAATTTAACCGTTCGCTAGAGAATCAAAGACAGAAAAAAAGATGGAAGGAAGGTCATCATGAATAAGTTATCTTTAGAAAAAAAATATACTATGATAATTAATATTAACTACATTTATTATTACTATTATTATTATCATTTTTAATTCCCTTGTTTAAACATTTCTCTCTCTCTCTCTCTGTCTCATACAAATGCTTAAAAAAAAAAAAAGGAAAAAAAAGTTAATGCATTTACGGACGTGATGACGTCATTAGTTTTTTTTTTTTTTTAACGTGATGGGATTTGATACGATTTTCTTGCCACGTTTTTAATTTTCGTTTTAAATTTTAATAATAATAATAATCCGAATTTTTTTAAAAAATTTATTTATATTTATATTTAAATTGAAATTTTTATATAAAAATAAATTTTTGTTATAACGAACACGACAAATTTTCTCAGGCACAAAAAAAAAAATTTCGTTAAAATGCTTAAATGATAACATGTGTGTCCGCCATTTTTTTCTCATCAATTTCACCCTCCATACTTTTTTTATATATTTTAGGTTTTAGCGATCCATATTGCATGCTTGGAATTCAACCGGGAAATCCGGGTGGACCACCACCTGGACCTCCATCTCCACAAATGGTACGAGAAACTCCTTTATCACCAAGGGCACCTGCCAGCAGAGCATTATCCGACAGCGGTTCTGATTTAGAATCTCCCAAACACGAAAATCAAGAAAAATTACGAAAACATCACAGGTAAATAAAAAAAATTTTTTTATTTGTTTCAAAGGTAAAAAGAAAAAATGGCTACGTTTTTACTTTTTTTTGTTTTTTTTTTTGTTTTTTTTTTTAAAGTTTTAAATTGAGTTTTAAAAGGCGAGACACCATATCCGGTAGAAAAGAAGGAAGAGAATCATTATTATGTGCAGTTCCGGCCAAATTCATTCGAGCCACGTCCGTTAGACCGCAAACATTGAATCCGAAATGGAATGAAAAATTCAGATTGTGAGTTATTATTATTATTATTGTGTTATTCTTCTTAAAAATTCGTTCGTTAAATTTTTTTTTTGTCTATAACCACGACGACGATTCATATGAGATAAATGACATCGTTTCTCAATGACGTTCGGCCATTTTTATTTTAAATAAAATAAAAAAATCCCTTTTTTTTTTGTCTTCCTTCCTTCCTTCCTTTCTTCCAGGATAAACTAATTTATCTTCTTTTTTTTTTTTTTATTCCCTCGCGTAAAGACTTCTTAATCCAGAGATTTAAAAAAAAAAAAAAAAAGGCTTTGGAATTTTTTTAAAAAAAAAAAAAAAAAGGAAACCGAGCAAAGATTTTTTTTTTTTATTTATATATTCAACGAGGAAAATTTATGATGACGACGACAAAAAAAAAAAGACGAACCTTATAAAAAAATTCATTCAGTCAATCAATCACACATCAATCCAATCATTCATTCATTCATAAAAAAAAAAATTTTTGATAATATAATTTTCAAATGGGGAGGGAGGAGGGGGAAGGAGGAGGGGGAAGGAG